ATGGGAGTGGGTGTGCTTTGGGGCCTGGGGTTAATGGAACTCTGATGCAGCTGAGAGCGTCCTTGTTATACCAACATCTTTTAGGGGCCTCAACTTGATTTTCCTTTAATGAACTGTGGATCTGAGTTTGTTTTTATCTTTGTACACTGCCTAGAGCAGTGTTTCTCAACCTTGACAACTTGAAGATGTGTGGACTTCAACTCCCAGAATTCCCCAGCCAGCTCAATGGCTGGGGAATTCTGGGAGTTGAAGTGCACACACCTTCAAGTTGTCAAGGTTGAGAAACACTGCTCTAGGCAGTGTACAAAGATAAAAACAAACTCAGATCCACAGTTCATTAAAGGAAAATCAAGTTGAGGCCCCTAAAAGATGTTGGTATAACAAGGACGCTCTCAGCTGCATCAGAGTTCCATTAACCCCAGGCCCCAAAGCACACCCACTCCCATTTTGTCGTCTTTGGAGGATTCTGTGGGAGTATAAAAGGCAAGAGAAACTTAAGGCAATTATTTTTCTCTTTAAACCTACTGTCCCTGTGGAAAAAAAGAGGGGGGCTTTGGGGGTGAAATTTTGCCCCCAAGTGGCCCCAGACCAAACGAAACCCGCATTCTGCCATACTCCCCCTGGCCAGGTAAGCCAGGGTTGCCCACCCTGCAGAGGAAAAGGGTCAACTCACGCGGAAGCCAGTTGGGTTGGTTGCTTGCTGAACCTGTGGTCTAATGGTATCGCTCACCCTTGCAGAAGAAAGTCAACCCTGGCCTCCCAGTCGAGATCGAGCCCAGCAACCGAGCCCGGAAGTTGCACGAGGAGAAGCTGAAGAGGAATCGGGAGGAAGAGCAGCGCTGGCTCTTGGAAATGAGGCAAGTCCTCCTGCCACCCCCCCCCCTTCCCCAAGGAATGGAAGGCAGAAATGTGGAATGGCCCAGGGTACTTGCAAGTTACATGCTCCTTCCTTCCTTCCTTCCTTCCTTCCTTGTTCCCTTTTTTTCATTGTTTCTCTCTCCTCTCTCTCTTTTCTTTCTTTTCCTTCCTTCCTCTCCCCCCCCCCCAGCTTAATGGTTTCATTATGTATGTCAGAAAGAAAAGAGAAAGTTTTGTTTTACTACCTTTAAAGAGTAACCTTCATGCAGCCAAATCAGTTACCCACAGGGAAAAGAACAGTTGTGGAACAGGCAGTGAGAAAACAGCCGAAGTTCAGGGCTGCAGTGAATCTGACCTTTAACCGTGGGGCCTTCAGGTCTTGCTGGACTATCATTGACATCGTGGTTGACCGTTTGTATAGAGGCCAAGGGGTTTGGGGTCCAGCTATTGTTCTGCATCAATTTTGGGCTCATACACTTTTGCATCGTCCTGTCTGGAGTAACCAAAAAAAGGTGTTTAGGACCACTCATTTTTAAAGCAGAGTTCCCCACTCTTTCTCCGGAGGATTGGAGAGAAGTCTGATCCACTGACATTGTTTTTTACAACTAGTGTGAAACAGAACTGGCTTGTTTGAGAAAATGGCAGTTGAAGATAATGGCGGGTGCCCTCATCCCTTGAAGTTTGGCCAGGGAGCTTTGTTTAGTTTAAAAGTGGGCACCTATGATCGGAGGAAGGGGAAGGGGGGCATACTTACATAATAGCCTTCTGGGAATGAGTGAGGCTGGCCACTCCCTAAACCAGTGTTTCTCAACCTTGGCAGGTTTCAGATGTGTGGACCAACCTTGCTGGCTGGGGAATTCTGGGAGTTGAAGTTCACACATCTGAAACCTGCCAAGGGTGAGAAACCTTGACCTAAACCAAGGTTGAGAAACACTGCCCTAAACCTAAACACTGCCCTAAACCTCCCAGGGTTGAGAAACACTGCCCTAAAAGAAACACTGCCCTAAACCTAAACCTGCCAAGGTTGAGAAACACTTGCCCTAAACCTTCACACATATGAAATCTGCCAGGGTTGAAGAAACACTGCCCTAAATCTTTAAGCATCTGTTGGAATGACCTGCATTTCTAAGCCTTTAGCAGAATCTCTGCCTTCTGTATTCATCTCCTTTTCGCTTGGAGAACGATGACCTTGAAGGCTTTAAAAAAAAAAAAATCCCAACCATGGATTCTTGACAAGAAGGTGAACTTACTCTAAGAAGCTAGTTGTGCCCATTTCTGAACCAGAAGGGAAAATCTTCTGGGTTGTCTTCTCATTATTGGAGGGGCTATGCGGAAATTAGCCTTGTAGCCCCGTTCAGCCACAGCGAGCCCTGGGTGATGTTTGGGCCCCTCCAGGGAGCGACGGGTACCAACTTGAAGACTGCTGTCACAAGTCCCCAGAGGTTGCTTCAGTGCAGCTCCGCTTCCATTGACTCTGCCAAAGGGCAGAGCTCAAGGGCAGAGCCCAGAGGTGCTAACGCATGTCTGCCATTTCTCTCCCCTGCCCTGTTCTCCTCTAGGCGATACAAAGAGGAAATGTACTGGCGCCGGGTGGAGGAAGCCCAGCTGTGTTGGGAAGAGCAGCGGTGGCGACCTTTAGCGGCAGATTGGCCTCCACCACCACTCATGGGCCGGCTGGGGGTGCCTGTCCCCCCCCTCTTGGTGGGTACCCACTTTTGGATCAGCATTCCCTCCAGCCCCTGTGTTTTTACTTGTCTGGCTTGTTCCCCACAAAGATGGCAAGCAGTACATGAGCATGGCCTGGCACAGGCTTACCTGTAAACCATAGTTTGGCAGTACCTAAAGCCCGCCATCTCACATCCACAAGAGGAGCAGGAGCACAAATACAAAGCAGTCCTTGTCTGATCTAACACGTTGTTTCTGGTTCGGCCAGAACAGCCTTTCTCAACCTTTTTACCCTGAAGGAGCCCTTGAAATCATTTTCAGGTCTCAGGGAACCCTGCCTAAAAATCACCAGAAATGCAAAAGTTTCACAATACAATTCACTTCTAACCTGCGCTGTCCACATTTTACAATGTTTATAACAATGGCAAAGCGGCAGGCCGGCAACTGAGTCGCAGCATGTAAAAATTCCCACCGCTGCAAACGCTGGTGTTAGGTGGAGTGTGAAGTTAAAAAAAAAATCTTTTTTTCCCAATTGCAATTGCTTGCTGGTTGAGAAAGGCTGAGCTAGAGCATCAAATGGGTTGATTTAAATGAAGGATGTTTCCAATTTCCTTGCCAGCTTTTCACAGGAAGAAAATTTATTAGGTAAGCCATTGTTTGCCCAGGTTTGGTTAGACAGTCCTAAATCGTAGTTCAAAGAAACTGGTCAGTTTCTTCAGTCACTGTTGGCTGACCTCAAAATTCATGTTACTGGCCCATCCCTGCCAGTGAGGGACCAGGCTTACTCTGGACTTCTACACCAGTGAGTTTTGCATTGGCTGACCCTGCTTCTTACGGTATTGGCCTTCCATCTGATGCCGTCCTACCAACCTCTTTTTTTTGAGATGGAAGTTGTAGGTCTTTCAATAGCTCCTCTCTAACCTGGACCACATCCTGAGCTCTTATTTGGCCATTCGTAAGATCGTTTAATGGTTTATTAACATTCTTCCTGTTTTCTTTAGAATAGTAATAAAGTGGGGTTAGAATCCCTGTGGTTTCTGCTAAAGGCTTAAATCAGTGTTGGGAGAAGTTGGGCTTTCTGACAAAGCCTGATTACGCGCTCAGCAATCTCTCATCTGTCACGCGCTCTCCCCAGCCGTGGTAATTGCCCTGCGCCCACCCTAGGCTTGAAAAGATGTTGCTTTTTTGCATGCCTCCATGTTTATGGCAAGTGGAGATACAACTGAAAGGTATTTCCCTCTTTCTTTTTTCTTCTTCCAGATTGCTAGTTAAAGCCTGTCCATTTTATCTCCTCCAGCCCGCTTGGCGACCAAACTCTTCCGATGACCGCCACATTATGACAAAGCACTCCAGCATCTACCCCACAGAAGAGGAGCTGCAAGCCATTCAGAAAGTCGTATCCCACTCAGAGCGTGCCCTGAGACTTGTCTCTGATTGGCTGGTGGAGCAGGAAACAGGGAAGGAGGAAGAACAGGAAGAGAAAGGGTAACATGTGTGCTCTACCGTGCAAGGCTGTTGTGCAGCAGCGAAAGGCGAGATCTTCAGAAGATACTTAAATTTTCTGGCCATTAAGCTTACTCACTGCTGGTTAAGCTGTTTTGGGTTTCTGTAAATCCGAAATATTTTTTGGTCCTTTGGTGAGACACAAATGCCTCTCTGCTGGAGCAGGCAATCTCTAGCCACAAAACCACCCCAAGTAGAGGGGAGTCTGTGTTTTGCCAAAGGGCCACAAAAATCTCTCCTCCTGTTCCCAGCACCCCCAGCAATCCTGCAGATGAGATTCAGAGAGCAGCACTTGAAAAGCAGATGCTTACTGGAGGTAGGAAACAAGTGGAAATTGTAATGCAAGTCCTAGTAGTCTCTTAATACCATTCAGCCCCCCCGCCCAAATAGGCAGAGTCAGAAATTCCCTATATCTTAACTGGCCCCCTGCTCCTGCAGCCCTTTCCCCAAATATGAAACATAGAGCTAGGTCACGAAAAGGTTGCCAACCCTTGACCTAAGCTCTCTGTTAATTATCTTTTATCTATTTCCTTAGGTGTATTTTTGAATTTAATTGCTTTACACCCTGTTTACCAAAAATAGAGTGTTTTTCCACATGAGTTTCTGTGACTTGCCAGGGGTGGCAGAGGGGGTAGAAATAAACCGACTCTCACCAAGCAGATGGTTGTGGGGTGGGGTGGGGAGATGCTGTCAAAAGTCAGCCTATAACTGAAAAAGACGGAAGAGAGGAAGAAGCCGCTCTGTCGTTCAAGGGGACAGAGACAAGCAGGTTGTTCTCCCCTCCTCTTGTTCCCTTCCATGTATAGCGGCATGGAATTCATACTGTTCCTTCCCTCTAGGGCAGTGTTTCTCAACCTTGGCCGCTTGAAGATGGGTGGACTTCAACTCCCAGAATTCCTCAGCCAGCAT